GTAAAAATGTATGCAGACAAGATTGATATTTGGATCAGTAGATTGAATAAAGCAGAATGCCCTCCCAATGTAGCTGGGCCTTATGCAATCCACTGATGGCCTGCATTGAACAAAAAGGCTGGCTAAGAGACAATTCATTCTCTCTGTGTAATGATCTTTGAGCTGGGACATTGGTTTTTTGATTTCAGATGTGGAGTTGGACTGGAACTTAACACCACTGCTCTCCTGGGTCTCCAGATTGCCAACTGCAGATCCTGGGACTTTTCATCCTCTATAACTGTGAGAGCCAGCTCCTTATAATACCTCACCTTGTACACACACTCACATTCGCATACTCTATTTGGTTCTGTTTCTCTAGAGAACCCAGTAATACAGATGACCAGCAAGGGCCACATAGCTAGCTGTCACTGTAACTGGGATTCAGATTCAAGTTTGCCGACTGCCAGTTTGGTCATTTTTATTTCATTATAGCATAATACTCTCCCTGGCTTCTTTGCTCTCAAATTAGCTGATTCTATCCTTTAGCTCTCATTTAAGTATTCAACTCAAAAGGAAGTGAATTAGCAGATTTGACTCAAAAAGGGAGTCTGACAATTTGGTTTACCCTTTCACTTTTTTTGCACAATGAGTTCCATCTGTTAGATATTTAAATTAACATTTCTAAGAAGTACAGGTTGCCATTGAGACACATGTTCAAATTTTCACTTAAAACGTTTTTACTAAAGCAACATTAATGCCATGGATGCTAAAAAATACAAATGAGCAGGTGATAAACTGCTTAATTATTCTTTGTTGTGGGGGAGGCATTAACATTTAGAGATCTTATTTAGAAATGGTTCCCCAAAACTATAGCAACAGAAGTAAAATGACAGTAAAGGACATAGGCTCTGGAACCAGATCCAGACTTGAAATTCCACTTTCCTATGTACCGTACAACCTAGGGCAAGCCTCTCTCAGCTCTTAAGTTCTTCTTCTGTAGAATGAGGATAACAAGAATAGCCATCTCTTAGCAATACTATATCAATTAAGATGGTTTAAGTAATGTGTACAGCACAAAAACTAACACATACATAATAAACATACAATCAATGTTAGCCACTCTGGCAGGATTGACTAGTTATCTATAAATAACTCCCATTATTTTTCAAATTGTCAGAATCCCTATAAAAAAAAAACCAAAACTGGTTAGCAATGAGCTAGCTAGTTAAAAACTGTAATTTCCAGATCTCCATGCAGCCTGGTAGGACCATGTTCTAAATTCTGATAAATAAGCTGAATGCAAAAGTTTAGTAATGTAAGACTTTCATTAAGTCTCCTTGAAAGACAAGGGGCCAGCCCTCTTTCTTTTCTCCATTCTGTTTCAGGGAACACAAAGGTAATGGCTGAAGTTCTAGAAACTATTGAACTATATTGAACCATAAGGACAAATATTGCAATTGGGCTTCTCTGAAGAGTGAATTAGGAGGAGTCTGATTTTTTTAATTTTTTCTTTTTAGTTATACATGAAAGTAGAAAGTGTTTTGACGTATCATAAATACATGTAACATAACTTTCCATTTTTTGTGATTGTATGTGATGTGGAGTTATACTGGTTGTGCATTCATATGTGAACATATGAAAGTTATGTCTGATTGATTCTATTGTCTTTCCTATTCCTATCCCCTCTCCCTTCCCTTCATTCCCCTTTGTCTAATCCAAAGTACTTCTATTCTTCCCTACCTCTTCCTTATTGTGTGTTAGTATCCGCCTATCAGAGAGAGGAGCCTGATTTTAGATGGCTTTATGTAACTTTCTGTAACACACCAGCTCTGGGTGCCCGTCTTTGGATTTTTATTATGTATGAGAGAATATAAACTACTTTTTTCATGCCATTATTTTGAGTACATCTCTGTTACTCAAGGCTGATTTAATCTTAACTGCTTTGGCTGTCCCTGGTGGTAGTTTAAAAATCCAAATGGAGGCCTGACACTATCTTGAGGCGTTTTTCCCCCTCCCCCTAAGTAAAAGCAAAACTGGGCAAAAATATTCAAATGGAGGTGCATCACTTCAAAGCCATTCCTTCTATTTCAGAAACCACTCTGAGTTACCATCTTCTTTCTCCTACTCACAAGTCCAGACTTCATGTTCTATTATATAATCTATAATTCATCACACCATGTATCTATCACATCATTTAGACAACCTGAACTGATCAAATTCAGTTTAAGTTCTAAAGTAGAAGTGATCCTAAGTCATTTCTTTTTATTTGCCTTCCCGGGCATTTGTATTTTATTTGAGATAAAGTTTTCTGATCAAAGTTTGGAATATCAGCAATTGTGGTAGAAGCCATAATTTGGAGTAAACAAGCCTACACATAAGACCATCATCTACCACTAAAGTTGATCATAACTTAAAATATTCCACTGGTATAAAGCAGCTAGCATATTTCTCAATGTTCACCTTCAACTCACAAGGAGTTTCAAGGATTGAGAATGAGTAGTGAATATTTGTCTGTCAAGCAATTAAATGGCATCCTCAATTCCTAGATGCTACATGGTTTATATCTATAACTTCAGCAATCATTGATACATCATCTGCTATACAAAATTCTATGCACGATGAAACCAGTTTATTTGTTTATAACCAGAATATGCTGATAACCACCCTTCTTGAACTCTTGGTCCACTGTGTAAAACATAACTCACCTTACTCTTCATAGATTTCATCTGAACAAGAATCTGTGTATCCGAATATAAAGTGCAAGAAAAGACCAAAGGGCATTTCCTTTTAGAGCAACAAGAGTAGGTGTGTTTGAGGGAAGAAGGGAAAAAGGAAAAGAAGGAGGGTTTGGAGGAAAGAGGTAGGTAGGTAGACAAGGTAGTTCTTTTTCCGTTGAATGGACCACTTGTCTTGGCTGAACAGTGTCTCTGATTAAAGCAAAATATTTCCCCAGGAGCTCAAAGTGATCTACACATGACATAATTAAAACCTCTTTGCCTCTCTTCTCTATCCGTTAATTCCTCCACTGATTCTGAGAAGTTAAATGACTCTGACAGGGTCACTCAAATCCTGGTAGCCTTTCCAGGAACCTGGCTCCTTCAGGCTTTCAGACTGGTGTTGATTAGAGGTTTGAGAAAGTGTTAGTGAACTTGATCCAACTACGTGAAGTCTGCTAAATGTCTAAGTCCAGTCAATGGGATGGATCTAGGAGAAATTTCTCTCTATACATCCCTCACTGAGAGACAATTCTCATGCCCTCCTTCTGACTTTTCTTGCATGCAATGATCAAGTTTACCTTGATGTTCTGCTACTCTGGCTAGTTTCAGACCAATATCAACAGGCTTTTGTCCATAATGCTGTGATAACCAGCAGACTTGTTTATTTTTTAAAGTATTAAGGATGGTTTCTATTTCTAGATGAAACAACGTTCAAGCAAAGGGAACCACAAGGAAAGTACCATGAAGTTCTCATCTTAAAACAATTCAATGACAGGTAACAAGAGAATTTCTGTTTGTTCTCTTGAAGTCTCAGAAGCACAATGCTCATTTAACTTTTAAATAATAATACTTCCAGAAATGGCTCATATCTTGAGTTGTCAGAAATTAACAAGTCATATCAAGTATGGACAGGTAATTGGCCTTTATAATCTAAAACTCTTTTTAAAATTAATTGGACTATAGATAGACCTTATAACATGAGGGGTTTGCAGGTTACATGTACAATTTAACATTTCTAAAGAGGAATTAACACGCCGAAGTCAATCAATTCAATTTATAACATGGAGGTAGCAAATGTGCTTTATAAAAATACATATTCATCATACATATACAAAAAATAAAGTTCATTTTGTAAAAATATCACTCCTCTTATAGAAGTTTAATTTATAACTTAATTTAGAAGTTATCAGTGGAACATTAAAAATTTAATTCATTAAATCACATTTTATACATGTGGATTTTAGGAACAAATAGAACTTGAAATAAAAAATCAAGAATCACATTTTAATAATGTTTCAGTTTTAGTTTTTCTTAAAGAAAAATTCAAGTAATCTTGTGCAATAAAAATGTAAATATTTATCATTAGGATAAATTATATTCTCATTTCTCATTATGTTATTTTCTTTTAAAATAAAAAGTTCCCCAAAACCTCTGAAAGGAAAACATGTTTAAAAATATGATAATGCAGTATAAAAAAATTTTAGATGGCATATCATTAATTCCAACTTACATCATTGGTATTAGTTTTAAAAATAATTGTTTTTCTATTTTAAGATATTTTATTATAATATCAACATATCAACTGTACACTTAAATGGGACACACTGGGATATTTCCTAATATGCATATATTGTGAATTGTTAATTTCCATTTTCTACTCCCACTGCACCCTTCTCAGACCCTAGAAATAGTTCTTCTAATGTTATTTTAAATAATTTAATTTCTTAAGATCATATGTAATAACCTAAATAGAATATTTTTAATTAAAGCAAATTATTATAAAAAAGGAAAAATATATATCTCACAAAAGTAATTTTAATAAATTAATCCATTCACCAAACAATTAATTGAACTGAAGTGGGAGGGGCAGCAGAAGAAAAGAAAAAGAAATTAAAGTACCCAGAATAAAGCAACTCTAAATTTCTCAAGTCCCAGAATGACAACAATTTTTAACAAAATATTCTGGAATTGAATATGTGCACAGATCCATATAATCCAACCAATTATAACATGTCTTACTAATATCCTATAAAGCACCTTGCCTCTGGTTTCTTAAAGTATGCTAATTCTGTGTGTGTGTGTGTGTGCGCGCGCGTGCGTGCAGTCTTTCCAAATCAGGAGAGAGGCAAAGGAATACAGTACATGCATATGGTGGTGTGCACGCATCCACCTGGTCCTATATTTCAACCAGAAGAGCACCCACCGGCACTCTGGCTTGCATTAAGTTATAAAATGAACAATGTTTCTCCAAATCCGAAAGCTAAACCAAGAATTCTTGCAATAGAAGAAAAATTAAGTGCTTACCGTGTAAAGCTCATTAAGAACTTTCATTAAATCTTCATGAAGTTGAAATGCAATCTCTTTGCTCTGTAATCAAGAAGAAATTAAGAAAGAATATTTGAAAATGTAACAGAAACTTGTTTATAAATTATATATATGTATATTAAAAGTCCCACTGACTGAAAACAGGATAAATATATTTATATTTATATATCTGCATATTTCTCTCTCTCTCTATATATATATATATACCTACATACCTCTCTCTCTACATACACACACACACACGCACATATAAATATGTATATATATAAAAATATATGTATATATGTAGAGATAAAGCCAGCATGTCCCTGGTATAATAAACATCTTCAGCCAAATGGCCCTTCTTAATACTAAGCAATGCAGGATGGACAGAAGCAAGCAAGTGGCAAGTGGACTGTCAGGATGGCTCCCATCCCATCCATATCAGATTTTCAAGAGAGATAAAAAGCAAGCAGGGTGAAGCATCATGCTGGCTTCAAAGTTGAGCAACAGGGCTAAAGTCATTAAAGATGACCTCCAGCATTCAGTCTCTCCCTCCTCGGTATCATCACAAAGGAATTTTGCAGTGAAATTCTCAAAAAGCTAAGTTTGAAAACAAAGCGGACATTAACACTCCTGTCCAAAATATGGATCTGACTGACTATAATCTGAAGAAAGCACTTTCAAAGTAGTAAGATGAAGTTCACTTAAAATCCACATACTTTATTTCTGCAATGTTATTTTTTTATTAAAAGACACAAAAGCAGAGAGTTGCATTCTTCTACCCTGCCGGTGAAAAACAGTATTTAAAATATTCTTCCCTAGGCTCATCCTGAGAGTTTGACAGAAGAGCATTTGAATATTGTTTTCAGCACAATCTGTAAGTTAGTTTAAAGGAAACCATATTCAAACAACTTTTTTTCCTTTCTGTTTTGAATTCACGATGTCATCAGCTACAGAGAATGGAAAAACTGTGTACCAGAATTAATCCGCAGTGAGATGGTAACAAGAATATCCACACTTTCATTCATGTGCCTCCTACTGGAACATCAGTTTTGAGGGTAGGGGTCATATCTTTATCCATTCTGCCTTAGTGAGTGAGCATCTAGGACATAGAAGTTAAGGTAGCTCTTGGTCTCACCTAGCTCTGGCCTTGCTGCCCATAAGAAGCTTCAAACAAATACTTGTTAAATGAATCTAAGAACAAGCTGAAATACTGTATGCCTGAAATAGCTGAAATAGTTACTCTATTTGCTTAAGTGGTCTGCTGGTCACCACTGAAAGGACAGAAAGGAAAGGCCATAGACCACCCTTTAAAAAATTCTGGGACTCAAAGGAAATTGAGTCCACCTACAAACATAAAGTTTTTGGGTCAGAACTCAGCAAAAAGCCAAACGTGATGAATTGAAGATTCATGGAAGATAAAATATTGAGGGAAGATGACACCAGAAAAGAGAAATTCAAATTTACTGGCAGCATTTGTCACTGGGTTTTCTTGGGGATCCTGAAGACAGTGCTGCTGTTTTCTAAGCTTTGACAGCTTCTAAAATCCCTCAATTGGTCATAAGAGGAGTTTTATGTTTTGCTGGGTCCCTGATATGTGAGGCTGTGGGCTAGGAATCACTCCAGAGTGAAAGGAGAGTCACAAGTGAGCAGATGAAGCCAGCTGAAACTCATTTTATTTCTCCCAAGTCTTGGTTATCCTGAACGTACGCATTACACTACAATCTCCTATGATTTCAGCTTGGTGTTATTTTAATATCAGATTTCATTCAAGGATCTGGGCCACCAATTTAGAACTCTCTAATGGGATCAAAGGCCAAGTAGCTGTGCTCAGTTATCTACGTTTCAGGTAGCAAGCCCGAAAAGAAAATATTTTTTGGCTAAGATTTCAGAACATAAGGACAACAACAAAAATCCCTTGGGTTCAATTAACCTCAAACCAAGAATATTTAGGGTCAGATTAAAGACTTTGATTTGTGGTCACAAGTATCCTCCAGACTACCGTGGGCCAAACAGAATAAGCAAGATAGTTCTTTGTATGTTCCACATTTTATGTGACGGTGGGTAGTGAGGTAGAAGAAATCTAGCATCAGATAAAGACTTACTCTTCCAAGCATACGCTTATATTTTTCTTTCACCTGTCCCCTCAAATATATTAAGTTTGTCTGAAGGCACTATAGCATAATGCCTAAAAGCAAGGACTCTGAATACCCCTATATCTCAGTTTCCTGTGTAAAATAAATACAGCCACTGCACCTACCTCAGAGGGTTGTTATAAGCATTAATGGGACAAAATATGCATGACACTTAATATGGGACCTAACATGCATAGACACTCCATAAATATTATAGTTATTTAATTTCCCCCAGTTTCTAATGCACACATCATACTTTCCCTTGTTTTGGTCTCATAGGGCATTTATCCATTGAATTCTCTGCAAGAGGTACTTGCTAGAACTGCCCTGGGCCTTTAGATTCCTCCAGGTGCCCCCTAACTTTGAAGGGCCCCCTAATATTGTGCTCCACTTTTAGACTTTTCTTATGTCTCTACTCCTGCACCAGGTACATATGCTAAACTTACCTTCCTATGTTCCATTTGCTTGGGGATTTTACTACTAGTGGTAAAGAAGAAATTAAAGAAACACATTAGGAAATGGAAAATTCCTCAAGCCAACATGGTACATGCAATTTATGAAAGAGGCCCTTAAGGAGCTCTGGTGAGAGTTTTAGATTTTGTGAAAAGTTGGTGGGGAGTTTTTTCAGTAGGGAAAACCTTGTTACCCTTCTGCCACAGAACTCAGTTTCTACCCATTAACCATCTTCTTCCCACCACCACTCCTGTGGTCTGTAAAGATTGTTAAAAACTGGACTGAGGTCTCAGATGGACTTGTTTATGTGAAACATGAATTCACACATCCATGTATTCACGAATACTTGGGATGAACACAATATAAGCGATCGCTGAATGCTAGGGGCAGGGCTGTATTCTCATGACATGGGAATAGTAAAGGGACCACAGCATGTACCCCACCCCAGTTTAGATATGTCTCCAATTTATTATAGTAGCAATGAGAGAATAAGCATTTTAAAGAATATTCTGGACCTCAAAAGAAGCAATCTTTAAGTCAAAACACAGTTGCTATAGCGCTTAGGATACAGGTGTACCAAATTAATGAACTGAAATCTATCTAGAAAATACCTGGATTGTTAAAGTCCATCAAAATGTAAGAGGGTACACATGCCTCTGGATTCTGTTTCATCCAAAATTGGAAAAGAGTGTGAGTAGACCCTTGACCCTTAAACAAAACTGCCATGGCAGAAAAATGATACTGATCTGAAGGAAGCAATGAATGTTCCTTTTGTATAAGAGAAAAAAAATTATGAAATAATATGTTTGAAATAAAGTATTTTCTATGTTATTTGAGATTAGCTGATTAAAATTACTTTTATACAGAGAAAGAAAAGAGGGTCTTTCAATTGCTTCAGGGATAGAGTTGGAAAAGAGAAGAGGTTTCACCTTTCTATTAACATGAGACAGAAGTTGAAAGTATGGTAAAACTTCTAATATGTTTCACTGGGATTCTGACCCAAGGGGAAAGAAAATGGTTAACTTTATTTTAGTAACATTATGTCTCCAGCATATAAGCCCGGGATGAAATTCCAGACCTATTTCCAATTATTTACTATTGCCATACTGATGTTTCAGATATCTCAAATGTAAATTCAAAATTAAGAGCTCTAAAGTTTTTATCTTTTTCCATTATGAAAATATATGAAGTATATTGAAGAATACTAGAAAAACTGAGAACAGGACAAAATGACCATCATTGTGACTTGATGTATTTCCTTCAAGTTAGCTTATCTAACTATAGGTCTCAACTCTAATCATTCCATTATAATCAAATATATTTTTGTATTCTCCTTTTTCAAATTACCATAAATTTTTTGATGAACTCATACAATTTTCAGGCAACTACAATTTGATTCACAAAACTATTCATATTATTGTTTCCACTATTTGCAATCAGTCAATAATTTAATCATTAAATTTCACCATTTTTAGGCTATAAATTCTTTATTTTATTTTTAATTTTTATTATTTTTAAATATTTATTTTTCAATTGCAGTTGGACACAATACCTTTATTTCATTTATTCATTTTTATGTGGTGCTGAGGATCAAACCCTGGGCCTTGCACATGCTAGGTGAGCGCTCTACCACTGAGCCACAATCCCAGCCCCAAATTCTTTATTTTATATTCTCATTTAATCAGTACTTAAATACAAATTTCTCATACATGCAATCAGATTTATAATATGAAATACTGAATAAATATTACAAATCACAACATAGTCAAAATTTACAACAAAATACCAAAGAACACAAAAGACTTCTTAAGAACTATTATTTTAAATTTCTATTGAAAACATGAAACAAGAATAAAGAATATCAATTGTAATCCCAAGGGTTGGGGGGCTGAGGCAGGAGTTCAAAGCCAGCTTCAGCAACTTAGTGAGGCCCTAAGCAACTCAGTGAGACACTGTTTCTAAATTTTTTTAAAAAATATATTTTTATTAATATATAATTACATATATATATGGCTGAAGAGAAATTTGGACCATTTAATGAATACAAAAGGTCAATAGTAAGAAATGGAACAATATTTTCAAGGTCATGAAAATGGGCTCTTGGTACACATTCAACTTTATTATCTGTTCAAAGGTTTTTCTTGGCACTTTCTTCTTTGCCAAAGTATGTACAATCATTTGGGTTGGCAAAAATCTTTCTTGTCACTCTTTAAAGTATAGTTGCAGTGCTCATAAATATCATTTTTGAGAGACTAGTCATTGCACAGGAGGCAAAGCCATGAATATTTAATTTCCATTAGCTGGGTGAAGTCAACCATTTTTCATCTTTGGTCTAGGATGGTGAATACAAGAAAGTGGGGGACAGCAAACCTGTTCTAGCCAGCAGATAGTGTGGTACTGCAATTCAATATGCTTTAAGCACTCTGCACTGCCGTCATGAATGCTGGTCTAAAGACATATCTTATAGTTTGT